CAAAGAAGGACAGATGCGACTTAACAACTTAGTATTCTTTGTTATCAAAGAAATACTGATCCAATATTTTATGTTTATAATTATTATTGAGTAAGAGAACCGCCCGCCATCTAAGTGATGCTGACATACAAATATACTCAGCGCAGCCTCGCTATCATAAAAATAGATTCTTAAAAGAGTATACCAGGCGCATGCATCACAGCCAAATGGTGACAGGTTTTGATAAAAGCAGAAAGCAATCTTGCAGTTACGGCTTAAATAGAAACTTCTTCAGGTTGGGTTTGGGATATAATGGATATCAGTTCAGAATTAAAAATCGAAGATGCGAGTTCGAATTCCAGTCGGGTTTCTTACCTTCACTTATGCACAAATACGCTTGGGAAAGGTATAAATCCATGTCTTCCCCCCCACCGGCTATGGATTGTATAGCAACTTAGGCTGGACCCTATTTACCTTGAGTGGTAACCAGTCTACCGCAGAAAGAAACGGCAACCTACTGCGGGAATATCTTCTGCCTAGTCAGTCATATATTGAAGGAGACATAATCGCTTAAGCGTGTATCACGTGATGGTATTTGACCCAGTCCGATTGGACAGTTTCCGATTGACCGTGTTCCCAAGTATCCCAATTATCTAGATATAACCCAAGTCGCCTTGTGTGTCCCATACTTCAAAAGTTTTGAAGGCCACAATATTTCAAGATTGAAAATAAATAACCGAACCGCTTTTTAAATTTCATTTTGTAAAGCGATATATGTAAATTAGTTATCTCCGTTGAGTAAGAATCCCTAAAATAGTTTGCCCAGATTTTGGAATGTGTCCTTGACACAAGAAAATGCTATTCGAAGTGTAAAAACAATTCTGGTTTGCTATTCATCATGAGAATAGTATATATATATATATATATATATATATATATATATATATATATATATATATATAATAGAAATAACAAATATTCTAACTGTCGAATATATTTCTCCTTTCTTTTAAAAATAATTTCACCCTAAGCAAGGTAACAAAGCCACTAACACGCGAGGGACGGTATTGAAGGTGAAAGAATGTAAGAAAATCATTATTAAGGAGAGAGAACAATAAAAGAACATAATTTATGAAGACAGTAGATAACGATTGATATTACATTTAAAATTTTGAAGATCAAACTTGATCAGAATGCAAGAAGCAGGAAGAGAGTTCCACAAGCGAGAAGTGAGATTGAAGAAACTGTAAAAAATGTAGTACGCTTAAATTCATTTTAAGTATGGAAGTGTTGTGGAGTATTTTCACAGTGGCGGCTTGTAGTTCTAATAAGTCGTCCTAAATTAGGTCAGACGTACAAGTTGTGATGGTTGGTACTTCAAATGTCCGAATCTCGACTGATGCGCTCAACACCATTCGGTATTTATCATTTCACCCACGGGAAACGAATATGGCACAAGGCCGGTTCTATTTTGGGTTTCTCCGAGCCCGTAGGCTCGGCCAAAAAGACGGGTTCAGGCCCTGTATTTGAAAACCTTGCCGATTAGACGGGTTTCGTCCGCAGGCCCTGCCATTCGGTACCTTTCCCCACGGACGAAACCGTTTTATTGCCCTTCGGCAAAAAATAGCCTCATCCGGGTTCCTCTCTCAGCCTAACGCAGAGAGTTCGACAGGAGGCGTGCGCAGTCAAAGACCGCTCAACGCCATTCGGTATTTATCATTTCACCCACGGAAACGAATATGGCACAAGGCCGGTTTTATTGTGGGTTTCTCCGAGCCCGTAGGCTCGGCCAAAAAAAAATAGCCTTTTGAAGCCGATTAGACGGGTTCAGGCCCTGTCTACCTCCCGGACGAAACCTTGCCCTTCGGCAAAGCCTCGTCCGGGTTCCTCTCTTAACGCAGAGAGTTCGACAGGAGGCGTCCGCAGTCAAAGACCGCGAGACGCCATTCGGTATTTATCATTTCACCCACGGGAAAAGAATATGGCACAAGGCCGGTTTTATTGTGGGTATCCCCGAGCCCGTAGGCTCGGCCAAAAAAATAGCTTTTGAAGCCGATTAGACGGGTCCAGGCCCTGTCTACCTCCCCGGACGAAACCTTGCCCTTCGGCAAAGCCTCGTCGGGTTCCTCTCTGCTAACGCAGAGAGTTCGACAGGAGGCGTCCGCAGTCAAAGACCGCGAGACGCTATTCGGTATTTATCATTTCACCAACGAGAAACGAATATGGCACAAGGCCGGTTTTATTTGGGTTTCCCCGGGTATCCCCCGATTAGACGGGTTCAGGCCCTGTCCGTAGGAAACCTTGCCCTTCGGCAAAGCCTCGTCCGGGTTCCTCTTCTGCTAACGCAGAGTTAGAAAATTTATCATTTCAACGGAGACGAATATGGCACAAGGCCGGTTTTATTGTCGGTTTCTCCGAGCCCGAGGCTAAAAATAGCCTTTTCAAGTGATTAGGTCAGGCCCTGTCTACCTCCCCGAACGAAACCTTGCCCTTCGGCAAAGCCTCGTCCGGGTTCCTCTCTGCTAACGCAGAGAGTTCGACAGGAGGCGTGCGCAGTCAGAGACCGCGAGACGCTATTCGGTATTTATCATTTCACCCACGGGAAACGAATATGGCACAAGGCCGGTTTTATTGTGGGTTTCCCCGAGCCCGTAGGCTCGGCCAAAAAAAAAAGCCTTTTTTTGAAGCCGATTAGACGGGTCCAGGCCCTGTCTACCTCCCGGGACGAAACCTTGCCCTTCGGCAAAGCCTCGTCCGGGTTCCTCTCTGCTAACGCAGAGAGTTAGACAGGAGGCGTGCGCAGTCAAAGACCGCGAGACGCCATTCGGTATTTATCATTTCACCCACGGGAAACGAATATGGCACAAGGCCGGTTTTATTGTGGGTATCCCCGAGCCCGTAGGCTCGGCAAAAAAAATAGTCTTTTGAAGCCGATTAGACGGGTCCAGGCCCTGTCTACCTCCCCGGACGAAACCTTGCCCTTCGGCAAAGCCTCGTCCGGGTTCCTCTCTGCTAACGCAGTGAGTTCGACAGGAGGCGTCCGCAGTCAAAGACCGCGAGACGCTATTCGGTATTTATCATTTCACCCACGGGAAACGAATATGGCACAAGGCCGGTTTTATTGTGGGTATCCCCGAGCCCGTAGGCTCGGCCAAAAAAATAGCCTTTTGAAGCCGATTAGACGGGTCCAGGCCCTGTCTACCTCCCCGGACGAAACCTTGCCCTTCGGCAAAGCCTCGTCTGGGTTCCTCTCTGCTAACGCAGAGAGTTCGACAGGAGGCGTCCGCAGTCAAAGACCGCGAGACGCTATTCGGTATTTATCATTTCACCCACGGGAAACGAATATGGCACAAGGCCGGTTTTATTGTGGGTATCCCCGAGTCCGTAGGCTCGGCCAAAAAAATAGCCTTTTGAAGCCGATTAGACGGGTCCAGGCCCTGTCTACCTCCCCGGACGAAACCTTGCCCTTCGGCAAAGCCTCGTCCGGGTTCCTCTCTGCTAACGCAGAGAGTTAGACAGGAGGCGTCCGCAGTCAAAGACCGCGAGACGCCATTCGGTATTTATCATTTCACCCACGGAAACGAATATGGCAATTATGGCATCCCCGGAAGGCCGGTTTTTATTGCCGATTAGGGGTATCCCCGAAACCTTGCCCTCGGCAAAAAAAAACCCTTTTGAACGCCGATTAGACAGGAGGTCCGCAGGACCGCGAGACGCTGTCTACCTCCCCGGTTTTATTTTGATCCCCAGAAACCTTGCCCTTCAGGCCCTGTCTACCTCCCCGGACGAAAGCCTTCGGCAAAGGTCCAGGTTCCTCTGCTAACGCAGAGAGTTCGACAGGAGGCGTCCGCAGTCAAAGACCGCGAGACGCTATTCGGTATTTATCATTTCACCCACGGAAACGAATATGGCACAAGGCCGGTTTTATTTTGGGTATCCCCGAGTCCGTAGGCTCGGCCAAAAAATAGCCTTTTTGAAGCCGATTAGACGGGTCCAGGCCCTGTCTACCTCCCCGGACGAAACCTTGCCCTTCGGCAAAGCCTCGTCCGGTTCCTCTCTGCTAACGCAGAGAGTTCGACAGGAGGCGTCCGCAGTCAAAGACCGCGAGACGCTATTCGGTATTATCATTTCACCCACGGAAACGAATATGGCACAAGGCCGGTTTTATTGTGGGTATCCCCGAGTCCGTAGGCTCGGCCAAAAAAATAGCCTTTTGAAGCCGATTAGACGGGTCCAGGCCCTGTCTACCTCCCCGGACGAAACCTTGCCCTTCGGCAAAGCCTCGTCCGGGTTCCTCTCTGCTAACGCAGAGAGTTAGACAGGAGGCGTCCGCAGTCAAAGACCGCGAGACGCTATTCTGCCAGACTTGCCACTGCTACTCCTACTTATTATCTATGGGAGAGTCCATTACAATAGAATAGGTACCTAACAGGAAGCCACAAAGAAACTGTTGCTAAATAGCAGGAAAAAACATAAAAAAACATAAAAAACAAAAAACAAATGAAATTTCTGGAACAGGTAATAAATAAAGAAAACTTAAAGAATCTAACCACTCCCGGGAAATGTTGAAGGCGAAAGAAATAGAATGAAAATAGAGAATAACAAGTTTTACGGTAATGTATGACAGAACAAGTAAAAACAATGTGAAATTATAAAGGGGCAAAAGTTTCGTCGAACTAAAGACAGACATCTGTGATCGCCAGCATTCTGAACGGACATGACATATAAAAGAATAATAATAGAAGAGTTTGACTCTCTAACCGGGTGGGAGGGTATGGGGGCGAAGTTTATATGATTGATGCCTGGTGGCTGTTGAATAGTACAATGAGAAAAAAAAAATGATTTCGCATGAGGTTTAGTTACTTCCACGGCAGCTGAGAACGAATCAATAATTGATTTGTAGGCAATCAAAATTTCGTTAATTTAATTCTGATATTGAAAATACGTTTTCTAATAATTATTATTTATCTTTAGTGGCTACAGGCTACGTAAAATATATTAATTTCCAGATTGGGAGTGGCTTACGGCGATGTCATTTTGAAACCTCGGTTCTCGTCTGATCACCGAAGTTAAGGAACATCGAGCAAGGTCAGTACTTATATAGGTGACCGCTTGTGAATACCAGGTGCTGTAAGCTTAGATATGCGGGTGGTGCAATGTATAAAATCTGGTAATTGGAAATTGGAGAATCGAGTTCGAATTCCAGTCGCTTTCGTTATATTCACTTACATGCAAATACCCTTGGGAATTGTATGAATCCAAACTCTTCTTCCCCCATCTATGGGTTAAATAGTAAGACTTGTATCTGTAAATCACTATTATCACCAAAAGTTCTCAAGGTCCAAAAATATTTTCTGGCTTTAAATAACCGGCAAATGGTTGATAAACTGGAAAAAAATCAATCAAATCAGATTGGCAATGCATTTTTGCTCAGCACTGATCATTGTTTGCGATTTTTATATAATAGAATTTTTTAAAATCCTCACAGTATTGTTGAAATTATCGTTAACATTTTAATCGAGATTTACAAAATCTATGTTACGTTCAATTTTGCAAACCAATTGTTGAAATTTGAAGAAGCTTATTTGTTTGGAAAAACTCTTTGAAAAAACTCCTACTTCGCGTTTTAATAATTCTTAAAATTTAATTTGATTTTATACGACTTCATGGTAAAAAAATTTTTTTAAGAAATTTTTTTTCTTTTTAACAGCGAAGAACAAATTCTTAGAATTTCTTACTCTTGAGCATGCAACATACATCAGGCAAATGCATAAATATAGGGCCAAATGCCAACTTTTTGGAGCGTTTGAGCTTGTGATTTATGTATAGTTCTCGCAAACACAGTGCTAAATGGAAACTGGATTCTTGTATATATGAAAACTTAAAAGAAAAGATTTGCAAAAAACAATATTGCATTTTTATTAAATAACTATTTTTTATTTTAATCATTAAATTGTTTTTAAAATAGTGCGAGGATTTGCATGTTAAATTAAAAAACTTTTAATTTCACCCCCCAATAATTAAAATGTATTTTATTAAACTACGTACCCTAGTAAAACCAACTGTACTTTGTACCACTTTACCTGTTTGCACTTTCCCCAAAAATTTGGTTTCGATCGGTCAGCGTATGTCTATTTTAGAGGGTGTGATGGACGAAGTTTAGAAAATTCTAATAAGTTCTATCCAGTAGATCACCTGAATTTTTTATTATGCGAAGGGCTAGTTATTCCAAGAGGCTCTGTTAAAATCATTGTTATGACTTTCGCCAGTCTATGGTGAGTACTAACCTATTCCAGATATTTCTCTTTAGTTTAATTCCCCATCCGTTAGGTGGTCAGTGATGTCAGTTCTCTGGTAGATGCGGGGTAAATTTCGTTTCGCGTGTGTGTTTTCGTATTTGTTGTTGTGTCTGAATGAGTGCATGTCTGTGTGAGTGCTTGCAAGGATGAATGAATGTTTTATATTATTATAGTCCCGCATTGATTTCGTCCAGTTAACTGATGTTTCTGCCACATTTAGTGATTGTGGGTTTTTTTTATTACTAACATTAATAATAGTTTTATTTCATATTGTAAATCCTCATTGGGGCTCGTTTTTTAGAATTGTTGTTTTATTCCTCCCCCATCCCACAGATGATGAATTATAGATATGGCGTCTAGTTAGTATTTTCATGGAGACATTGAGGTATTATGGTGGATGTGGTAAGAAAGGTACGTAAGTATGTGTTGCTTTGGTGTAAGGAATATTGTTTGTATGATTGGGTCAGCATTTGTGGCTAGCTAAGTTTAAAGTTAAGACAGAAGGCGGCCACCCTTTTTCCCTTTCCCCTTTTTGGGCCTCGTGCCACATTTCCTGTATAAACAGAACCTAACCTATTCCAGATGAAACCACCCCAATTAAAATGCCTGCTTTATGCGATTTGGGTAGACCATAAAGTCTGGGTAACTCCGAGTGTGTTTCCCTCAAACATTAGCTCTCCTTCGGGAGTGGGCTAGCATCAATACCCGGTGTCTGAGGTGTCCACAAAAGAGGAAGTGCTGAAGTGGGCTTGAGCAATTTTTTCACGGTATTACCGTTAAACTCGCTTTAAACTGACCTTGTTACATTCAGTTGCGACGTGTGCACACAGATAAACACCAATAAAATCTGGATAAATGCAACCCACTGGCTCCCATATACTGGCGAAAATTATAGCAAAGATTTTAACAGCACCTTTTGGAACAATTAGCCCTTCACATATTAAAAATGAGATCTTTATTTTAGTGGATTCTCGAGAATGGCTTTTGCTGCCAAACCTGGTAAATCTTCTTTTATATGCCGTGTCCCTTCAAAATGTAGGCGATCATGATTCTTCTCATCTTCCTATCCTTTATAAACTTAAGCAATATTTATCTTACTACTCTTCTTAATCAGTGCTATCTAATGATATCTATCATCCATTTTCTACTACAGTATAATATCTACCATCCATTTTCTACTACAGTATAATATCTATCATCCATTTCTTACTATGGTATGACATATGTTTTAAAACCCTAACCAAAACCCCAACCCTTACCCTAACTCTTAAAAAAGGACACCGCTTCATAATCAATTGAGATTATTTTGTCTGACGTTAGCTTGTTTATTTTGGCGTGGATTTACATAAATAACTCTTTTCTAAATACAAATAAAATAAATACTCCACTCTTTAAATTAAAATAACACTGTATGTATTTTGAAGAATTAATACTGTAGGCCGTAAGTGGGTTGTTTGGTAGAGTGCATCGTCATTTACGGTAGGTCGCAAATGCCTCGGTAGATATCATACTATAGTAGCACCTTTCAGTCACTGTTCTGCCATCGATTCACATAAGCTCGTTAAAGAACTTATTTACTACTTCCCTTTGACTTTATTGCATTCATTATGCCCACTGAGTGTTAAATTCACCATGCCGTCTTTTTTCATTATGCGTCCTAGAAAATTTAACTGTTTCGTCCCGGTTCTAAGTACAAGTGTCGTTTTGTTCTCATTTTCATTTTCGCATCTTTCTATCGAGCCGCGTTTCTTTTGCTTCAAGTCTCTTCTTCATCCGAGAGGAAATAGTCCGGCATTCACTGACATGAGGATATGTTCTTAGAATAGTTTTCATTGCGGTGAATTATTTTTGTGATTTTACGTCGGAAACCTTGAAAACGTTCGCCACCCGCGACGAAAAAGTAAAAAAACAACACCCACACCAAACAAAAAACAAAAAAAAAAGTGATGAATTTCTAAAGAAAAAAAAACAAAAAAAAAATAGTTCGCTATTTTGTGTTCTGTGATTTTTCACCCAGGAATTATAGACAGAACAGCATAAACTGAATGTTCTATATTTCTCCAAAAAGAATTTGGTGCTATTTTAAAAAAAATAGATATAAAAAGTCTGTTCGCCTGCAAAAAAAAAAATTAAGTAATCAAAATCGAACATAAATAAGCATTTATGCCAGAGGAGGGGAAAAATGCGCAGACTGCTTATAAAAATTGAAACGGAAAAAAAAGGAACGAAATATAAATCAGAAGAGGTTGAAATAAGAACAAGTCTCAGTACAATTGAATAAGAATTTTTAAATATATTAAAATAACCACGTAGGATAAGTAAATAATATTAAAAAAATGAAAACATCACCTATTCTAGCGAGATATTCAAATCTTATGCATAAATGAGTCGTTATTTTTGTATGTCCTTTTTATCTGCGCTGTCAAAAATACACAGCTTCTATCTTATATCTATAATTCTCAAAATGTGCGTCTATGTATGTGTATGTATGTGTCTATGTGTGTATGTATGTATGTGTGTGTGTGATCGGATGTTGTTTATGTATTTCCATAGTTTCCATCCGATTTTAATGATTTGTTTTTGACTAGCGGTTTCGAGTCCAAATTGTTGGCGACAATGGCTCTCCACTACTTCTTGTCCATTATAACTCTCAGCAACGTTTTACTATTTACTATCTGTTCTTAAACATATATCTTTCATAAAAACTTTAATAAAAATAAGTAGTTTAAATTATTACAATAATATAATTTATTGTTATACAGCAGCCTTTTCAGGACCAAACCCGCCATTCAAATTGTTAACCCCCTCTTATTTGGGGATGAGCCTCAATTGCACCCAAATGTTGTTACTAATATTGATTTTCGGGAGGGCTGACTTTAAACTTAAACTGCTCCAATTGAACGGCAAAAACTCCCAGAAATGAAAGACCCCGTCGAAGAAGGGTTATAATGCTAGTAATTTATATATTTTATCAATTGCTTAGAATATTTCGTAAGACCGATAGCAAATAGGAGATTTTTTTTTTATCAGTCAGCCTCATTCCAATAGATGCAACGTCACCAGCCTATCCCTATCCTCTCGCTATTTCCATGGCAAATGTTCTTTAATCCCAACAGTTCAGATCTTTAGAGCTAAAAAAAAACAAAAAATAAAACAAAAAAACTAAACAAAAAAGAACCCCCCCCCCAAAAAAAAAACCATACTCATTTTCCTCCTATTTTAATTGTTATTAGGAAGCGCCTCCCACATTGGATAGTTTCGCGTGGATACTTTCCTGAAACCTAAGATCTTAATTTCTTCAAGCCAAAGATCAATAGTCATCTACCCTCTACATCCCCATCGATTTTGCTTCCTACTTCCTACTCTTACATATCATATACCGCGTTCAATAACCCTCTACAAAGAGTGACTCTTGAGCCTTATACTATATGAATATTATTAAAAGAAGCGGTTTGAAAATAGTTAAATTAAAATATTAAAGTATCATTTCATTAAAAGTACTGACTAGGCAAATCATTTTTAGGTCACTTATAAAGTATGACCATTTGGAAGAAAGTTTTGTTTGTTTTTTTTTTTTTTTGTTTTTTTGTTTTTTTACGGCATATCAACCTCAATGTCTTATTTAATCCCGACAAGATTTTTATTTTTGGTAATATTTAAAAAAAAAATCTATTTCTGGTAATATTTTTTTCTTCAAAACACCTATTTCTGGTAATATTTTTACTTCAAATATTTATCGCTGGTTATATTTTTTTCAAACAATTTATTGCTTGTAATAATTTTTTTATTTAAATATTTTTTGCTGGTAATAATTTTTTCTTTAAAAATTTATTGCT